TCATCACGTTAATCGTTGTCACATAGCTATCATATGCCTCAAACAGTGTGTCCTGACGCTCTTCTAGGTAATCATACATCCTGTCATGAACGCAGTTACAGTTGGGCCTTTGTTATCATGTGCTACTCTGATATTAGAAGAGTACATTCAGTATTTTCCCAACAATATGATATCGGTGATTGCTCTCTAATCACACTCAGATTCATGTACATGGTGGACACACACATGGACAAAGTAGGTGTGGCAGCTTGTTCCTGTCTGTCAGTCCAGATAAACTGCAGTCAAGCTGGTGTCACCCTGGACAACAAGAGGCTCTGTTCTGCCTGTGTGCCTCTGACAACCTTAGACAGCTAACACACAGACACATCGCGATTGTTAAAGAACAACGACAAGGACAGGAAGTGTGGATTTGAATGTGTGACAACATCTGTATCTGAGCGTATACGACCCACAGAGAGAGAGGAGAGTTGTCTCTTCTTCTGCATCTGAGAAGTCCTCTCAGCCTGTCATTCACCGTCAGCTCGTATTAGAGGCTGAGGGGGAAACCCCCGGGAGAGAGGAGCCAGCAGCGGAGAGACAGGGAGGAGGGTTGCAGTGACAGAGGGGAAAGGGGGGTGGGGGGGGGGGAGGGGCAAAGACAAGGAGGGAAAAGACAGGGGAAGTGCAGGAGGAGGGAGAAACCATGAGAGAAGGGAAGGAGAGGGAGGGGACTGGAATCGTAAGGAGCAGCAAGAGGGAGAGAAAAATACAAATAAAAGAATAGAATGATGAGAAAAGGGAAGGAGAATAAAATACAAGGTAGTTGACGAAAAGAAACTGGCAGAAGGAAAAATGTGATGACTTAAAAACTAATGAAAACAGACTATAGATGAACGGTAAATGATCACCAAATAATATATATGAGTTATTTCAGTATTGGAATTAGACCAAATGAACTAACGGCGAATAATATAATAAAATGTGGAAGTCAACTACAATAGGCTAATAACAAATTCATACTGCTTACATTAAAGGTTGTCTCACATATACATACATATCTTGGTTCTCGAAAAGGTTATGTAGAAAATAATCATTTATATTCAGGGGCTGCTCACTTACAAAAAGTACGGTTCATGTGTGTGTATGTGTGTGTGTGTTTGTGCATTTTTCCCGGTTATTTGGATTAGCTACTTTACAAGACGTAGCTTGACAGACACACTTTATCAATTCAAAAGATGTACAGTGCAGCAGTGCAGTGGGATCATCTCAAACTACACATATCACAGAGCACATTTAAAGTGGCCATAAATGCACATAACATGTAGCATATTCCAGTTTCGTGTTTTGTAGTTTTCTGCACATATTGTCTTGCTGTTGGTTTTAAAGTGTCACCGTTTTTAAATCATGTGACCATATCACTCCAAATGCATGCAGAACTAACACATTCATGAAATAAGCCACACCTCCTTCTAAAGATTTCAGTGGTTTTCTAATATGAATATTGTAATGAAAGTTCAGCAGTTTCTTCATGTAAAGTCAACATGTTACCATGCTATGTGACCCTTTAACTCCAATTCAACGCAAAATTGTAATATTTACTGGAGGAGAAAGACACATATATATTTTTCTGGGATTTTAATGCTTTTTCTATTTTATTTATATGTTATGACAATTATTTATGGAAAGTCTTATTTCTTTTCAATAGCTTCCATGCCATGGGCCCTTTTGACTCCAAATCAATGCACATTTGTAATGTTTATATGAACTGCTATCCAGAGGTGGGAGTAAGTCCTACATGTGCAAGTCATGAGCAAGTCTCAAGTCTTGACCTACAAGTATCAAGCAAGTCCCAAGTCACTGTGGTGAGAGTCAAGCAAGTCAAGTCAAGTCATTGCTCAGGTCAAGCAAGTCAAGTCAAGTCATACGAAATTCTGATGAATAAGCCCAGTTTCCGCATTTAAATCAGTTAAAAGACAGTGGTTATAAAAATGGATTCAACCCACACTATGATCTTCATTACATACACAGTTAATCATTTGAAATCTAATTTAGACCGATGACAATCATATTAGATTCATATTAACCCCAGAACTGCAGACAATATAGCTAGGACTCAATCAAAAAGTCTGTTCAAAAAGGCAGAATTCCAGGTAAGAAAATTATATATGGCATTTGCCATTACACATATTTAATTTAAATGTCTGTTAACACTAGAACCGCCAACAGCGTCAGCACCTACATAGATATCATTTTCAAATCATTTAATTTGTTCCTCTTCATCATTTCCTTATAAACCAAGTAGGACGATTTAAAACTCACTTAATTGGGTTAATTTAGAAATTGCTTCAGTTTATCATCATAACAGATCAAAAAGTTCAGATTCATTTTACAATAAATCAAGGAATGATGCACTTCTACAAACAAAAACATCATAATTAAAAGATTTAAACAAACTACTAAAAGTAGATGAACTACATTATTCAACAGTTTACAGTAACTTCTGATAATAACACAGGGGAAATAAACGAGGCATCTCTTTTCCTCTCTCTCTCTCTCCCTCTCCTGACAGCCCGTCAGTATCGGGGTTAGTCAAAATGAATCCCTTGGCGGTTCTCGTGTTCATTTACCGTTTTGTCTTCTCTTTGCTTAATCGATTTGAAACCAAGTCTAACGTAGCTTAAACTTAACGTTAGCTTTCTAGCTAACACAACACATTCACGCGGGTTTTTTTGTAGTGACGAATGAAGTTGGATGTTGTTGTGGTCCTGTCACTGATCTTTATGCTGCAGACCCTGCAGACCGCTGTTCTCTTCTTATTAGCGTCATCGACAACATAATCCTTGAATCCAAACTTCACTATTTTTGGAGTAACGCTAGCCGCTGCCATGTTAACTGACACTCCTGCCTTCTAGTGGGTTGCCAGGTTTGCGCGCATGGCGCTATAATCACCCAATCACGTTTTTCGAAAAAACTAAACGTAATATCTCACTACAAAAACAAACGCAAATATTTAATTTTAAACAGTCAAGTCCTTTCAAGTCATCTGTCTCAAGCTTAAGTCAAGTCTCAAGTCATGAATACCAAGTCAAAGTCAAGTCAAGTCTTTTATCAATGTTAGTCAAGCAAGTCTCAAGTCAAAAAATATGCGACTCGAGTCTGACTCGAGTCAAGTCATGTGACTCGAGTCCCCACCTCTGCTGCTATCTAATCGGAGATTCAATAAAGTCAGATAGAAGCACTCCTTTGTGCATCAGTCAATCCTCTCAGTAAATACAGAGCTAAAGCCCAGATCAAATGCACGCTAAAGGCTCTTTGAGCATGTTTTCTCTCAGTGATTGTGCTGTTATGTTACATATTTGTTGTTTGTTTTTCATGTATTGTGTCTTGATATGTGTCTATGTTGATGTTACACATGGAGCTGCTGTGATGCAAGTCACATTTCAGACTTGATCTGACCATTAAAGTATTATCGTTTACTGGAAGAGGATAAACCTCTTCTAACAGGCTTTTAATGGTTTTTCAATTTTATATAAATATTGTAATTCAAAACTCTTGAGTTCATGTGCACTAATGACTCCATGTGAATGCACAGGAAGTATAGTGCAAGAATAGCACTATGTCATTTCCAGTGCATCACACTCCATGCAAATCAAGTTATTTTGTTACCTCCGTCTCCCAGTTACGGAAGTGCACCACAGCGTCAACCAGCGTCCGGCAGCAGCGCACGTGGATGAGCGAGGACCTGTTCATCACATGCACACAGCTTCACTATTGATTGTATCAGAGCTTTCTTAACGCTAAGAAAATAACTCAGTTGTACACTTAAAAATACTCTGCTCAGGCTTTGATAGGCTACTACAAATTCCAACTGAAAACCTGTTAAGTGTAGAATTTGAAAAACACGGCTACAAGCTAATAAAAGATGCTGTCAAGTTACTTCAAGGCGTGGGAGGTAAAGCGTTTTCAATGAGAAGATATCTCCCCCTGTGCTGCATCAGATTTGAACATTATTTTTGTGTCATACTTATTCACTGGAATACTCCTTTAAAAAGGTACCTGCTCTGTGTGTGCCTCCCTGTTGGTTGTGTTCCCTGTGGTGCTCATTTGGCACACTTTCTGCATTGCTGCACCTCCCTGTGGTGTCTTTCATCGCTGACACGTTACTAAAGATGCTAAATGTTTCCTGATATATATATAAATATTTTTCAAACTGTTATGCAGCCTTAACCATGTCTGTTTGGGTTTGTTTGCAGCTTTAATTAAATCCCTCTGAAAACTTTAGAGATTATACATATGCTACCGGAGGTTTTACACTCCCTGGAGAATTGAATCTCTGCTTGCTGGTTGCAGACGAGTTTAACTACTTCGTTTTCAGGCAGTCTTCTGCTTCAATGATGACGATGATGATGAGGATGATGAGGATGATGAGGATGATGATAATGGTGATGATGGTGATGATGATGGTGATGTTGACTGGCGGAACACATCATCAGGGTGAACATGTGCACTCAGCTTACATGGCTAACCGTTTATAAGGACAGCTGCTGATTTCTGAGGTTCACCCTGTAATATGAAGCCTAGAACGACAGTGTGTTCAGGTAGGTGAGAAAGAAAAGTCAAAGAAAGAGAGAAGTAAACATAGATAGATAGATAGATAGATAGATAGATAGATAGATAGATAGATAGATAGATAGATAGATAGATAGATAGATAGATAGATAGATAGATAGATAGATAGATAGATAGATAGATAGATAGATAGATAGATAGATAGATAGATAGATAGATAGATAGATAGATAGATAGATAGATAGATAGATAGATGGATAGATAGATAGATCTGTGTAAGAAAAACTAAGGGACGAGGAAAGCAGGGAAGGAGAGAGATGCTACAGAAGGGAGTTGGGCGGGAGGGGGCGGTCTGCACGCAGTGATTGGAAAATATCGAAGACGCGCACGCGCTAATCCCATGATGGGTCTCAGTTACCGGGGGGATGGGAGGGGTCTGTGAGAAAAAAAAAGTAGGACCAGGGCGGGAGCATCTTGCGCTCGCGAGCCTCGTCCCTTCCTCTCGAGCCTTTTGTGTTTGAAACTCTCATATCTCACGTATCAATAATTCAAGCGCGCGAGAGAGAGAGCAGACGGAGCTCCCCCCGCGCGCTATGAGTTCTGCTGCCTCGTCACTCGTCCAGGGCCCCTCCGCACAGCGCGCGACTCCCGCTTATTGTGTTTCCAAGTGACAGCAAAGCTGCTGAGAAGTGAGGAAAGAAGAAAAGAAGAGGTGAAAACTGGCGACTCTACTGGAGATGCAGGGACAGTAAACTGATTTCAGAAAAAAGGAGAGGTGCCTAAAAATAAACCGTGTGGTTTTCCCTCCAAGAGACTCCGCGAGGGAGAAACAGTGCGCAGTGGGCAAATTCAATCCTAGAAGACGGAGTGGCATCTAGTTGTAAAACAAGCTTCATTAACGTTCATCTGGGGAACACTGGGAAACTCTTCCTACCTTACTTTTCTCAAGGGGAATAGACCCGCGGCGGACGGTGTGAAGACGAGCGAAGAAGTTAATCGTTCTGGTCCGGTATGTTGGCGTTTTGCCTCCTGGGTGCCGTGTGGCTCGCGGTGAGCCCGGCTCGCGCTCAGAACGAGACGGAACCAATCATCCTGGAGGGGAAGTGCCTCGTGGTGTGCGACTCCAACCCGGCCGCGGACCCCACAGGGACCGCGCTCGGGATCTCGGTGCGCTCCGGCAGCGCCAAAGTGGCGTTCTCCGCAGTCCGGAACACCAACCATGAACCCTCCGAGATGAGCAACCGGACCATGGTCATCTACTTCGACCGGGTAGGAGAATACATTTATGTTCTCTAAAATACCAACAAATCAAGGAAGGAAAGTTAGTTTACAACTGTTATCAATCAGTTTTACGTCAGTTTTACGCCAGTTTTAGTTCAAGGGAATATTACTCTATACCGGATGACAGAATTATCAGCTAACATTTAAAGTTAAAGGTTTTTTGTGAGAATGTGTATGGCTTGCTTTGTGTGACGGTTGTTAAAAAAGCCTGGAAGGAATACACGTTGAGCAACCAATTAATGGCTTAAAGTAGACTTAAATGTCACACATTTCATACAAACACCAGAAACAAAAAATAGGATGTTTTTTTCCTATTTATTACCCTATTTTTCCTTTTGATGCACGTTGATACTAATACAAATGGTTAGGGTTAAAAGGTGTGTGTACAATTAGCCTCAGGCTGACAAAGTAGCATGTTGTGCATACATATACAGTTAATAGAATCCAGGGTGGCTAGATTTATGCGCAGCTGCATCTCGTGCACCTCTGGTAATGGTCTCGTGGACATCTCCACTCGAGATAACTAACGGTAATCGGAAATGAATCTGTCTCTGACGGTAACGATTATTTGTATAGGTAGCAGTTGGGAAAGAATAGGCTGGTAGACAAGCCCTTTGAATATTTCAACTTTTCAGAGCTGACAATAAGGGATATGGGAACTGACATCTCGCCAAATAATTTAGTAACGGCAGGTCGCGAGGGCTGGGTCCTCCCCGCCTCCCGTTAAAGGTTAATTCTCTCTCAAACTGCCGTTCAATTACACGCCATAGTTCGCCGCCGTCCATAAAACCAGTCATTTGGCTGCAGATACATAATTGAAAATACCATTTAAAAGATTAATTAAGTCCCCTTTCATTTCCCATAAAGTTTGGAGGTTCTCACAGAGGGGGGAGCCTAGATAAAAGCAGACTATCAGTGGATCTGAATGTGTGGTCCGGGGCCTGAGGGGCCCTTAGAGTCCATTTCAAAAGGCTATCTTAGGAAGTATTACGAGATGAAAAAGTAGGCTAGAAAATGAAATATGGACTATAGAAAAGGTTTCACTCTCTGATAATAAATTGAACATTTTGATATAATAAACCATGTTTATCTGCGAATATTACTAAACAAAATGGTTTACATTTAGTGAAGACTTTGCATTTAGTTGTTGAAATGCTCTTTGTTGGTGTATACATTATTTATGTAATCTGTAAAGTGCCTGAGTAGAAATACTGTAAAAGAAAAGCAGGATAAAGTATTTTTTGCATCAATTCATTATTTCTTTCTTTCTTTCTTTCTTTCTTTCTTTCTTTCTTTCTTTCTTTCTTTCTTTCTTTTAGGTTCTAGTAAACGTTGGGAAGAATTTTGACGAAGAGAGAAGTAATTTCATCTCACCGCGCAAAGGGATTTACAGTTTTAACTTCCACGTAGTGAAAGTCTACAACCGCCAAACTATACAGGTAGCCTTCTTTTGTGTGTTTTTGTGTGTTTCGTATGTCTTTTTATGTGTGTGCCTTTGTGCCCTTCCACACTTTTTCTCCCTCACAAAAGTTGATTATCCGCCGCACTGGAAGTCGTTTTGTAGTTGAGATGTCTTTCCCGGGAGACAGCGCAGGAGGCGGGCGTTAACATGAAAGCTGGTCCCCCGCCGGCCCGATCATAATTAATCAATACATGCAGAGAGGACAGAGCCGAATCAAGCGCGTGCAGCCGTCAGAAGTGACGGGGTGCGGTGTAGAGCGCGAGGAGGGCCACGCGGCTCCAGCAGCTTTACTTTCAGCACCATGGACAGCGACGTTTCCTCCTGTGTCTCAGCAGCAGGCTGAAATAGATTCTTTAGAAATATTAAAACATTAAGTGGAAGTTTCAGTCACATTGGACTGGTTTTATGTAGATATATTAAAAATAACGTTTTCTATTACATTACATGATTCATGATTATTTACATTACACTGTATTTAAATACATGTCATTAAGTTTATGCTTTTTTCAAAGCAACTTACGTGCACTTCAGTACATACATGCCTATGGAAGCAATGTGGGGTTAAGTATCTTGCACATTTTAAGACTGGGAGGGTTTTTTGGGCACAAAACATTACATATGAATTATACTTCATTAACAGCCATTATTAGGTATCTCTTGAAATACTTGGCATAGAACAACTGTATGGCTATTGTGTTATCACATAGTGTTCTTCATCATTATGCCACATGTCAATATGAGTGCAGAAGGTAGCATTTGTCCAGGTCAGTGCCTGCTGGGTGTGGGATCAAACCCTATGACCCTATGATTGGTAAACGCTTATCTAGCCCCTGTGCCTTAAAAAACGCAAACAAATGTTGGCAGCGATAAGAAAGAAATTCAGGCAGAGGGACACAACGTTTTAGGAGGTGCGAAAGAACACGGAAACAGCGAAGACTGGGAGTTTCACACAATGGATTGTATAGGTTTTTTTACATAGCCTAAGAGGGATATTTCATTTTTTTGTCCAGTATTTTGGCCACCTCCCACATTGTTTAAATAAATCCAAGCTCTTTGTTAACATTTACATATGAAGTACATTTGAAACATAGCAAACGGAGACAGGCATTTTAATTGTCTCCCTCTTACACACAACACACTCATATGGGTTTTACGTATAAATAATAATGTTTTCCCATTATTTGTTCCTCACACACACTGCCTGCAGTATCACAACCCTCCTTTCATCCTACTAACAACTGGTGTTAACTGTGCCTTAGATGCAGTCTCCAGATTATTTTGATGTGTCAAGCGATGAAGCACTTGAGCAGTCTAAAGCCCATTTCCAGCGTTTAACATGCACGTGATGGCGCTTTACAAACCACACTGCGTTAATTACAATGTACCGCTTGCAAATTAAACTGTTGTGTAATTATGCTGTTGGCTCCCCGGGGCTTTGGCGTTATGTTTTGCTACTTATACTTTATTATTGGAGTCTTGAATTAATTAGCATGGCAGCAGCAGTAACAACAATAACAACGACAAGGAGGGCGGGCGATATGTGAGGGGTAAATGCTACGTGAAGCCCGGGCGCACACTCCCAGTCATTTGTGTGTGACTGAGCGTAAATAGACCGTGGATGGCTAATACTGACTCATGGCGCTATTGTAATTAACTCTGTCGTACCATGCAGAACACGATGCCTGTCACATTAACATTAGGAGTGTTATTTGTGCTAAGTTGTGATGTTCTCAATATGAAACTGAGATATAAGAAGGAAAACAGTGAAAGAGTGACTTGAGATAAGAAGAGATGATTTCCTCGTTAAAAGCCAAACTCTATAGACTGGAGTTCCACACTTACGTTGAAATAATGGAATGACTTTAAATATAGTAATATCATTTCAAAACGTATTTAGAAGCTGTGTTCTGTCACGTTTCTGACACGGAAACAGGTGTAGGTTGTCCTCTCTCCTCCAAGCCTGCCGCTCAACCTCTTCCACTCATCCTCCCATCCTCCCATCCATCCATCCATCCAGCGCATCTGCTGTGTTGAAAACTCCCACTGTTTGATTGCCTTAGAGGCAGCTACCGTGGTGCATGCAGGAGAAGAGAGGCAGCAGGGAGAGGAGAGCGATAGGGATAGAGAGGAAAGGGTGAGGAAATGTAAAACAGTGACAAAGGAGGAGGAAAAGATGGATTGAAGGACAGGGTAGATGGTGAAAAAAGAAAGTAAATAGGAAACAAAGAAAAAAAGGAAAGGAAATGAAGGAACACAAATTGTGGGAGGAAAAAGAAAGAGAGACGTCAGAAAAGAACAAAGGATGGACAGGAAGGAAAAAGAAGGAGAAGGTTCAGGCAGGGCGAAGAGAGAAAAAGCAGACATCATGAGTAAGTATTGATCAGTGGCTGCTGGGTAGATGTACAAAGAGAAGGAAAAACAGTTTGTTCCATCGCTCATCAGCCCTTTCCTGTGCAGAGATCTATCTATCTGTGAGGGGTGAGAGAAGTGATGTGGGTGTCAACAAGCAGCTAGAGCTCTTTGTTTTTCGCCTAGCAATTAAACAGAAAAATTGCAAATGTAAACCAATATATTCTCTGTTCCAAAGAGAACTACCTATTATCATGCCTGTGTTCCCCTAATGAAGGGCTCACTTTGCTTTTGAAAAATACTTACAATATACATATCAAACACTTCTCCTTTTTTCCTTCGGTGTCGTCTGTTATGCACAAATCAAATTGAAACAAATGAGTGCTATATCCCTTACTGAACATCGTATACCTACAGCTTGGAACAAAGAGCTCACGGATCAGAAAGGGGCGCTGGGAGGAAACAATCAGAAGAGCTAGGACGTTAGCTTTTCTTTTAGCTGTCCGCAGCAGGTGGGCATCACAGTCCTGCTTAACTTCATGATAGAGCTAACTGACAGCTTTGCATTGATTTACATTATGATGGGTTCAAGCTCTATTCAATACACATTTGTATTGAGCAAAGGTTAATTGGAATATCTTGATAACATTATAGATTTCACTTAAATCAATACACTTATTATTGGTAGGGTAATATATAACAAAAGTAACAAAACAAAGGGAAGTTATTTTCATGTATGATTCAGGAACATTGGTGTAATTAGTGTGAGATTAGGGGCTTCATTCAAAAAAAGTTGTCCCACTTATTATTACTAATCAGTCAGTCACTTTTATTGATTTCAAATCACCGCGGAGTGAATTTTCCGGATAAAAACCTGATATAGACCTTCCTTAGCCTGGAGATTTAAAGGGAAAACATATAACAGAGTATATTGGAGTTTAGTGAGGTTTTGTAGTACGAATAAGTTACATTTTAAGCAGTAAAATACCGTAGAACACCTTAGCATTCAGAAATGGCATTCACAAGCCTCGGGTCACAGCAGCTCTGTAGGGGTGAACACTTCACAAGGAGCACATCTAATGCTTGTGCTGTGCGTGTATTAAGCCTTCCTGCTACTCTCATTTCCCCATTGAGGGTTGGAAACCTGGAGGCACTGCTGCAAGCTGTTTATGAGCACGCTGCTCCGATTTGACCTTTACGCGCTGCTCTTTGGGTGAGAAGAACTTATTTTATAATTTGACCCAGAGCTGCTGCCTCGGTCTGCAACAAAGCAGAATCCTTTCAACTCTTTCAGAACGTATTGCTTTGGTTTCCAATACACACATTTGATTATTTAACGAGGGTAGATGGGGGCGTCCCGTGTTGTAGTAAGATATTTGACACCACATGCTCTGTTTTGAAATGCCATGCAGTCAAAACAGAACAACAAATGCAGCCCCTGTTAATTGCACTGCACACTAAGGCAAGATAATTGTTAGTAATTGCAAAAAGGTACAATATAATTTCAATTTACTTAAGTCATTCCATTCTTAAACTAAATTGATTTCGTGATAACTGTCATAACGTATTGGTTTAACTCATTATTATGCAGTTAATTTAACAACATATATTTTGTGTTTTATATTGGTAAGGGTTTTAAAATCCAAAGACTTATTATGAGGGTGTCCTTAACCGGTATCAGCTGATTAAAACGATTTTTTAAAAGAGAATTTGGATTTTGGTACATTTTACATTGTTACATGTTAGATTTGAATATGATGTGTGACTGTTTTCTATGAGGTTGTCCGTGAATAAAATAGTTATAGCGCTGCAATAACGCTACACCACTTCATTAAAGTGTTCCGTTTTAAAAACACATTCACTCTTTAAAACTGCTGGGAGCAAACTTTGAAAAAGCCACAACCCTTCTGGACATCTTTAAATATCATCAAACTGTTTATTTAATATAGTCTGATTCCGTATGCAGCTTCACACTACAGCCAACATAATGCTCAACAGGCAAATCTAGGCATACAAAAAAATCAGTGATGAGCCAAATACAACAGATCAATATTAATGTAGAAAATGGGCGTCTTTTCGTCTTAAAGCACCTAAAAAATCACTCATACGGAGAGTGTCACAACACTGGCATCATACTACAGCCTTTGTGTTAGGAAGTGAGTGGCCAGCAGTGTGGTGGTGTGTTGCACATTTTTAAGTGGGAAGAGAATCAACAGCATAATTTTTTCTATGAAGATGAAAACATAGATATACACTAGTCCTCTACCACTGGCTCAGACCGTGTTCATCCTATACAGAGGGGATGCAGGAAAAAGAGACACCAGTCCAAGCCACATGAATAAACTCCTTATCTGTTCCTATGTTCTCCTGCCTTTGAAATGGCGGAAGGGGCAAGGTGAAGAGACTAGATAATGAAGTTGGTTTGTAGCTGGCCAGAGAAACCGTATATCCTGCGAGTTGATAGGCCTCACACACAAGCTCCTTTCAAGGGTGTGTATTGACAATTCTGCTTTTTGTAGAGTCATTTTTAAACATGTTGCTGACATGTATTCTGTGGATGGCAATGATGGCCTTTTTAATGTCTTAACAACTAGTGGATGGATTTAATTTTGTCCAGACTTGCATGGT